AGACCGCTTAACAGAGTGATTGCTATCAGGAGGAGACTTTCAAGCAGCATAACAAAAAAAAAATTCTGAGCACCTTTGAGACACCTTTGAGACTTAACACACATAAAGATGGTTTCCATCGACTGGAGAGCAGATTCTAGTCTTTGACAGTCAGAGAGGAGCACAAACCTAACGACTGAGTCAGTCCACTACACAACACACATAACGACTGATAAGTCACGGCGGGACATAAGCCAAAATCACCGATACCAAGTCTGTATGATTTCTTTTGTCTGCCAGGCAAAAACTGTAGATTAAAAGATCATAATTTTACGGTGGCCGAGAGAGCTCAACGCGATGCAACTGAAGCAAACACATGCAAATAGAAAAAAACACATGCAAATAGAAAAAAATGTGTGCAAATAGAAAAAAAACACCTGCAAATTAAAGAAAAACATCATCATCAGTTTCACAACACACGTTTACTCCAAATACAGAAACGCGCTGCAAAAGTTCACAACACAACCAAATACAGAAACGCGCTGCAAATAACACAGACCACAACGGAAATGTTTCCAGGGGAACCAAATAAGTGACGAACCCGGCTGGGACGTGCTTATTGCTCGTGAGCTTCCCTATGCCATACTCCCTTCGAAGGGGAGACGGCAGAGCCCTTAAAGTGGGACTTTGGAGTGAGCAGGGCTCTAGTGTGCTGTTATGTAGCCGTGTGGAACGCACTTGATGAAGGAGCAACGAAAGACAACATAATTCCTCATTATTTTCACCTGGGATGTTCCCATGACAACGCAGCACGGCGTCCATCAGCTGAAGAGCTGTTCTTACCACAGAAATATAATGCTGTTAAAATAACGGTTGCAAATACATTTTTATTTTTACTTTACAAAAAAGCTTTTAAAATATGCGTGTATGTGTCTCAACTTTAAAACTTTGGACCCTACATTACCTAACATTTCTTATGAAACTTTTCTTTATGAAACAATGAAACAATTTGTACAGTGTAACTGATAAAAGATAAATATCTTTCCTTCATGTTCTTCTTCTCTATCTTTTTTATGTATTTATTTTAGTTTTCAGCTCATTGTTCTTTTCTCATTTGTATTCTGATGACATTGAACATATTGTTAATACATTTTGTATATTGTATACAAGGTGTATGTCATACAAATGTAATCTCTGTATGTTTTGCAAAAATAAATAAATACATAAAGTAGAATTTTAAGCTGTAAGCACCAGCACACATAGATTTATGGATATCTATGCCAGCACGTTTCCCCTGGAAACATTTCCGTTGTGGTCTGTGTTATTTGCAGCGCGTTTCTGTATTTGGGTGGTGTTGTGAGTATTTGGAGCACACGTGTGTTGTGAAACTGATGAAGATGTTTTCTTAATTTGCGGGTGTTTTTTCTATTTGCATGCGTTTTTTTTCTATTTGCATGCGTTTTCGGTAACACTTTAGAATACGGTTCCTTCGTTAATGAATAACTACACAGGAACAAATGAGTAACACAATATTAACAATCTAGTAACTACTATTAACTAACAAGAAATTCTGATTAACGAATTAGTAAGTAACAGCGCACAGATGAAAGTGGTAGTTCACTATTAACTAATTGGTAACTACTATTTTTTTTATGCTTCCAAGAGAACTACTGAAGAAGAATAATAGTTCATGCAAAACTAATCAATAACTAATGCAGGACAAATGACTAGCACTACATTAACATTAATAACTGCTGTAAACAAATACATAAGGTTTATCAATATGTAATAGCATAGCAGACTTATGATTTGGGAAATAATTAGCCTATGCTCTCTCCTAGAGAACTATTTATCAACTGAATAATTTTAAAGAAATGGCTTTTTAAATGCAGTTGTCGGGACCTTACTTGTCCTGTAGTGATTCAATGCCAGTCCAGAGGAATGCCAGAAAATTGGCCAGAGTCACGGTGACGGCTGGAACATAATGAGTTATCGGCCATCCAAATACCATATACAGTGATTTTATTATTTAACCTATACCTCAAAATTTTTTTTTTATTAATGTCTCCTACCTCATACATGTGTGCAAATATCTTGTGAAGGATTAGAAGATTCTACACTTTAGGATTGGCTTTTCATGTAAGAATCATGATAACTAACTAGTAATGACTCAAGTGTTACTACATAGTTCTAAAGGAATTACTAATTATTTGGATCCGTATTCTAAAGTGAAGATCATGGTAACTAACTAGTAATTACTCAAGTGTTACTACATACTTCTATTGGAATTACTATCTAAAACTTCACCAAAAACCTCAAAAGCTTAAAAGAATTAGTAATTCCTTTAAAAGTATGTAGTAACACTTGAGTCATTACTAGTTAGTTACCGTGATCTTCACTTTAGAATACGGATCCAAATAATTAGTAATTCCTTTAGAAGTATGTAGTAACACTTGAGTCATTACTAGTTAGTTACCATGATTCTTACAGTAGTTCTCTGGGAAGCATTAAAAAAAAGTAGTTATTGATTAGTTAATAGTGAACTACCACTTTCATCTGTGCGCTGTTACTTACAAATTTGTTCATCAGAATTTCTTGTTAGTTAATAGTACTTACTAGATTGTTAATATTGTGTTACTCATTTGTTCCTGTGTAGTTATTCATTAACGAAGGAACCGTATTCTAAAGTGTTACCGCGTTTTCTTCTATTTGCATGCGTTTTCTTCTATTTGCATGCGTTTTTTTTTTTTATTTGCATGCGTTTTCTTCTATTTGCATGCGTTTTCTTCAGTTGTTGCGTGTTGAGCTTTCTCGGCCACCGTATAATTTAGCAAATCTCTAACCCAAATATAATGTGGTTGCATTTTCATTAGCAAAAAAAAAAAAAAGGTGTTTACATTTGAGTCCTTGCAGTCATAGTTATGGTCAAAAATAGACAGCAAATCCAAGAACGCAGCTGGAGTTTGTCATAATTATGGTAGAATGTGACATGAATCTAAACTGCATTAATGTAACAATGTTGACTGAGACGGTGCAGCTTCAAGGCGCAGAACGGAGAGGGAGTGGTGGTTATGGCTGTTGATTTTGGCAAACACAGAAAGCTGACAGCTGTCTGATGGCTAGACCCCAATCAGGACTCATTTGTGTTAAGAGCGCTGTAGCCTATATGAGGTTCTGTTTAACTGTGAGTACATGTATTCTTGTGACGCTTGTGCAAATATCTCCAGGGGTGGTAACAGAACGTTTGAGAACCAGAGAGCAGCAACCTGAGACAACAAGTCTTAATTTAGCTGTTACTTCATATCACAAGCTCTTATGCAAATTTAAGACATATTTCTGACTTATAGTATTAAAGAAAGAGAGCAGTGTGGTTTCATTTTCATGTTCAAGGCATTTATTATTTTCCGAACACCCTCTTCCACACCTTTTTTTCTGGGAAACTTGTCACAAAGCGTTTGTTACAAATAGACTTGCTAAACAAACAAAACAACTGTTGCAATGAAAAATGGAAAAATATCCTGTCAGGTCTTGAAAATGCATTTGACCCATTAATTTTGCAATTCCTTGCATTGACAATAACATCTCAAACTCTGTGATCCCTGGTTATACAACATAAACAAGTGACATAGTGTCCATGTGTGGCCATTAAAATAGAAGCAGATATACTAGTAAGAGGGTTGTTCACCTTGCACGCATTTATCATACCCAGTCATACTCAGTGTCAGGTGCAAAAATAGCACACTAAAGCATGGGTTTGCTTGCAAGCAACATTAAGCGGTGACATTTCCCTACAGCAAAACTGCAACAAACAAATATCTGTGGAACAGTTTTGACAAGGAAAGTCATGTTTCTGAGTGGGACATGGTTCTCTTTTATCTTTTCCTAGAGATTGGCTTGTTTTTTCTCTCTGTTGAGGATACAAACTGCCCTTGGCACCACTGGCTGTGGTTGCTATGAATTTAAGGTCAAAGTATATATATAAAAAGAGGCTATTGAAGATTCTGATCTGGATCAACAATCTCTTGCGATGTTTTCTTCTCAACACACACACACACACACACACACACACACACACACACACACACACACACACACACACACACACACACACACACACACACACACACACACACACACACACACACACACACACACACACACACACACACTTCTACCCACACCATGATGTTATATCCCCTAATGAGACATCAGTGTCTGTCCATGTGCATGAAAAGAAACACAGAAGCCATTCACTAAAGCATCACTAACCTACTGGAATCCACACTGCAAACAATGGCTTACAGTGGAATCCTGCATCATACTTCCACAGAGCTGTTTATACAGATGTTAATGTCTATCAGAATGATAACTTTTACTTGATAATGATAATGATATGACACTGCATTGGTGTACTAACTGGACAAAATAAATAAAAGTGACAGATGGTGTGAAGCTGAAACTGTAAACCAATCAATAAATTATTTACTAAGTCAATAAATGGATTTCACAGCCAATAGTTAACATTTGAATACATAAGGATTTAACCTAAAATCTATGACAAAAAAAAAAAGCTAAACATTTTTATCAAGACATATTTTTTTCCATGGAATTAGTTTTTCATTTTAACATTAGGCCAATATAAAATCCGAATTATGGATATAAAATCTGAATAGGTAACAGATGTTGGTAATTATAACTAGTTATGGGTAGACTTATTTGTAATCGTTTGTTATTGTAAATAAAACCTGTTTATTTTATGTGTCACTGTTTTATACTTATTTCTGTCCATAGGGTATTTCTATATTAATTTTGAAACACTAGGACATTTTTTATATCATAAACCTCAATTAGGGCAAACATTAATTAGTATCTGCATGCGTAAATAACTAAAAATCACCATGCATGCCCAGAATAAGAAGCTGATGTAGCCTATGTTATTAAACTGCTCATTTCATGCCAATGGATTACAAATATCGTTAAAAACAAAGTGTACACGTGTTTTAATTGCTTCCTAAACTTACCTTTGCATCCACTCTTTAGTTATTTCCGTCTTGATCATCGGTAAATAAAAACTCTGTATGCGAAGCAAAAGTGAATCTCCTCAGACAGACGAAGAAAAGTGAAGAAGCGAAAAATTCTGCACTGCTCTCTTCTGCTTTTTCTGCTTGCGCGTCATCATTACCGCCCCCGTCTCATTAATATGAATCACGTAACGTTACGTCCAGCCCATTAGACTTATCTGATTGGCTGAAAGACGTTGACAAGTGCTACATAATTCATTCATTCATTCATGGTAGTGGACATGTCACAAATGCTGTCTATAGAGCTTGTTTATGTAATTGTGTGTAAAACACCAAATACAATGTTTTGGAAACTGAAAACAGAATTTGAAAAAATTGCTGAAAATTTCTGTAGCTATGTCTATACTATATAGAGCCTTTGACACATAAGGCTTAGGTATCAATTATATGGGGAAAGCTGCGGAGCAAAGATAAAAAGATTTATAGGCTATAGCTCAAATTGCCCCTAAGTTAAAACGGCGGCTACAGTGTTTGGTTAGCATAATAAACCATTAATATCAACAAACAAACTATCAGTCAACAAATTATTCTTTTGTAGCTTACATGATTTTGGGTGGCTTCTCTCTCTACACACACACACACACACACACACACACACACACACACACACACACACACACACACACACACACACACACACACACACACACACACACACACACACACACACACACACACACACACACACACACACACACACACACACACACACACACACACACACACACACACACAAAAGGTTTAAACAAAGTTTCACAGCTGTTCTGACTAAGCTGCTGACTAATATTACACAGTAGGCTATTGCAGGTTTATTAATTTTATGTGAATCCATGCAAACTCGCTCATGTTTTTGCTCATTAAAGGTGAAGAACAAGTGAACAAGTTAAGGCATAACCACAGGCATGACAATACTTGGGTAAAATCTGATACTTAGAATATCCAGAGATGTCCTTTAACCAACACTAGATTCACTAAATGCCATTTATTACACAGTATTTCTTACTGCATAACAAGTGTAGGATAAATATAGTCATATTACCACCTCTATATTTTATACTTGATTTTTGAATCAAAACAAACTGATCGTTTCTTTTCACACAAATTATGTTGCTCCGAAAGTATATATATAAAAAAACGAACATGGCAAGTGTAGACAAAACTTGGCAAAAGAAGACTGCAAGAGGTTTGAAAATGTCATTCTATAATTTATATAATGCAAGAGGTATGAAAATGTCATTCTATAATTTCCAGTGAACTGGAGCAAATATTAATCAGAGGCTGGCTCATATGTGTCACATTTATTTTAAAGAAATGAATCCAGTAATGCTTGTTTAACTGTAAGAGGTTTTGGATACATGCAGATTCGAGTGAACCTATTAAACAAAATGTTTCATTAGGAATGATATTGTTTTTATATTGTTTTATAAAACTGTATGGTAAAAATATATCTTAAAAGTAAATTTTAAAGTAAAAGTAAAATGGTGTGCTTGTATTTCCTTGATTTTTAGCATCAGACATGACATTCCATGAACATGTCACAATTTTACAGAAGTCGGGAGAGAAACACTTTCCTGGTGGCACTTCAAAGTTAATACTGAATCAAAATAATTTTGAAATGGTTTAATAGCAGTAGGCCTATTTGGTTACGGTTACACTTGAAATAGTTACAAAATGTATGAGATGATAAAACACAGTTAATTGTACCCAAATTGTTACCTGAGAGATAGTTAAATGGATAAAGTGAGCAGAGAGATGGAAGGGAGAGCTCAGGTAGAGAGGAAGAACAAAGTCGCCCAATAAGAAGAAACAAAGACATGAGGTGGCAAGGAAAGAGTGTCCCAAGAAAGGGACCCAGAGGAAAATAAGAGCCAAAGAAAAGAGTGCCCAAGAAAAAGAGACCAGAGCAACCGTTGAAATCTTCTTTTATTCCTTGACCATACCCAGAGGAAAAAAAAATTAGATCTCTTTAACATCTCAAATGTTTCTCAGATATGAGGTTACTTTAACATTAAATGGAAACATTTGCTTCAGTGTCCGGCTTCTCACACTTGTCTCCTTAGACAAAACTCTCACAATGGTCTCCTTTAAGGTTTCAGAAGAGATCTCAACAACATCACACACTGCTCATATTTGTCTCCTAAACTAAAGGATTGAGTCATAAGGCATTCAACGTGTCTTTCAACAAGGAATGCTCCAGGGTTACTGTTCCAGTAGTAAGACTTCTGTAAGTCAGTTATGTATATATGTATTTAATATATAGGCTTTTTTTTTTTACTTCATTTAGTGCCTGTCAAGCACTTGACTTCGTGCACTTTTTGGAAAGTTGTTGAGATCTCTCTAAACTTTAGAGGAGACTAAAATATAAGAGCTCCAGTGTCTCTATAGCTAAGGAGAAAAATCTGAGCACAATGTGTGATGTTGTTGAAGTCTCTTCTGAAACTTTAAAGGAGACCACTGTGAGACCGGAACAGTGAGACCCGATGCATGAGCGCGAGAGAGGTGAGAGTAGACGCCTCTTGCGTATACTCGGGGGCTGAGCTGGGCAACAAACTCAAGCTCCTTTTCTCTTATATCGACATCCTCTGACATTTCTCTTTAAAAATTCTCGTTTCAGACTTCTAATTCATAACCGGTGTTTTGTTTTGCTCCATCCGCTGCATGCGCTTCCGCGTTGGTCAATACGTCATAGGCCGGGTTAGAGGTCACTCTTCAGCTGGAACTCGACTTGCGTACGGCCATTACCGGAAGCCAGTGATTATAGATTATATAAAATTATAAATATGGATATTTTTCTTACAAAAACACATCGCTTCACTTCAGAAGGCCCTTTTTAAACCCCCTGGAGCCATATGGATTACTTTTATGATGGATGGATGCGCTTTTTTGGGCCTCAATATCTAAGGTACCATTCAGTCCCATTATAAAGCAAGAGCCAGGATATATATTTTTTTAAATAAATCAGATTGTGTTTAGCTGAAAGAAGAAAGTCGTATACACCTGGTTTGAGGGTGAGCAAATTATGGGATACTTTTCATTTTTGGCCGAACTAACTGAAATTAGCATGCTTTCTTGAGCAGTGGCCTGTGAACACAACGTTCCAGATTCATTAGAGCTCACTTTATCTAGAAGAACATACTTTTTAGTCCTATTGCTGTTAAGCATTTTGGGAGACATGCCTTGGGTTTCACAGACAAGGCTTAAGCCTAGTCCTAGACTAAAATGCATGTTTGAGCTGTTTTAACTGAAATCAACTTGCACTGACATATCTTAAAATATGCCAGTGCCACTGTTTTGTCTCAAAATGCACACCAGTAATGTTTTTGTTTAAATTGATCTAAGGCCTAATCCAGGCTTAATCATTACTTCTATATAGATTTATATATTAAGTTGCTCAAAGCAGGTGGCAAAACATTTAAACATGCAAGTAAGTATACATTTTATTTATAGAGTACATTTAAATTAATCTTACACTGACCAAAGTTCTGTACAAAACAATCATAAAATATCAAATAAAATGCAAAAATGAAAGATAACAGTTGGTAATCCATAATTTAATAATCAGGAAAGGCTAAAGAGTAAAGATGTGTCTTAAGTCTAGATTTGAAACCAGAAATAGAAGGAGCACTCTTACAGTCACATTCAGTTTGTTTTGTTTTCATTCAGTCACATGTGTTTCGTTTGTCTAGTTTCCCGCCACTTATGAGTTGTCATGGTTACTAATATGATTAGTCCTCTTAGTTCAGCTGTGTCTCCACATTAACCTTGTTTGTACCACTACTTAAGTTCCTTTGGTCCCTCAGTTCATTGTCTGTGCACTCGCACACTGTTTCATATGTTGGCTTGTTATTCTGAGTTCATAATAAATCTTATGTTCTTTTATGATCATCTTCTGTGGTTCAAAGCGTTACAGTCAGATGGCAACTGATTCCATAACCATAGAGCATGAACTGCAAAGGCTCTGTCACCTTTCGATTTAAGATGTGACTGTGGGACATGTTGGATACTTTATTGGCAGACCTGAGGGACTTCAAATAAATAATACGAGTAATGTAAGACGGGTCTTGTCCGTTTAGAGCTTTAAAAACAATCAGCAATTTTTTTTTATTGAATTCAAAAAAAGACCGAAGCCAGTGAAGACAAGCTAAAATTGGAGTGATATGATCACACTTTTTTGCACTAGTTAACAGTCTCTGCTGCGTTCTGAACCATCTGCAAACGTGAAGATTGAGGAAGACCATGGTATAAACAATTACAATAGTCCAGCCGTGATGTAAGAAATGCATGAATAACCTTTTCCAAATCTTGAAAGAAAAGTGTTGATTTAAATCTAGAAATAATTCTTAATTGATAGTAGCTGTTTTTAACAACTGAGCTAATTGGTTTTTCAAGACAAAGCTCAGTCAAAGATAACACCTATTTTTTTGTTTGTGACTTCCTGCGTGTAGATCTCACTCCATATGTTGAGTAAATAGCTATAGAGTTAATGGTTTTGGAGGGACCAAAGATAATCACCTCAGTTTTCTCATTGTTAAGCTGGAGGAAATTATTTGCTATCCAACATTTAATATCCTTAAGACAGTCCAGGAGAGGTTGCAGAGAGTCTCTAGATTTTAATGGAGGGTCATCTGAAAATCATCTAGGAGAGAGTGGGGTAAAGTGAGACATTTTTTACATTTGCTCCCCTCTAAGCGAGCTAAAATGATATATCAGTAAAATGTACACATTTCCCAGTAATTCATAGAAATTTGAGTTTTCCTAATTATATTATCGAGTGGAGGCTTGTACAGATTAAAGAGCAATGGCCCCAAAATGGACCCTTGAGGAACCCCACAGGAGAAAGAAACAGAGAAACTGGCCAATAGCCACTGAGAATGTCCTGGAATTAAGATATGACTCAAATCAGAGTAGTGCTGTATCCTTAATGCCTACCCACTGTTCAAGGTGTGATACAAGGATTTTTGATCTACTGTGTCAAAAGCAAAGATCAGATCCAGTAAAATCAAAACGGCATTTTCACCAGAAACAACCGCAAGTAACAAATCATTCATCACTTTTAATAAAGCTTTTCAGTATTG